TATCGTTGTCAAACGAATTAAACCCTTTCTGAGACCATTCAATTAGCCCTAATTAGTATTCGCTCTAAAATTTCCTTAACTAGAATTCGCGGATTCGGTGTACTCGATGAAACTTTAAATTAGTGTATCTTTGCTTTTAACAAGCTTTAACAGCTTCTAACAAATTAATTTTTTTATTAATTTTAATATTTTGCTATATTATGTTGATAAATTATTATATTTATTTGATCTTTTCCTTTATTTTTAATGTCACAAAACTTCGACAAATTAAATTTAAATAAAAGTGTATAAGTGCAACTGAGATTGTTTTGTAAACTTCCTATTTGTTAAAAAATCTGACGCGTTTATTTGTTGAGAGAAAAGTGTTACGCATTTGTTTTTGATATTTCAAGTGGCAGATTGGCTAAACCTGAATATCTTTCATAATAAATATTCAGCTAGTTTATCGTCTTATCTTCCGTTCTGCTCGCGGCGTAAAACTCGTTCGTTATTGACTGTCGCTCGATGGTTCGATCCGAAAACTCGTTCTCGCATTTTCCCTTTCAGTTCTGCGCCCGCGAGCGCTTTTATTACGTTCTTTTCGCAACGCGCGCTCGTCGTCGCAAGTTATCGACCTTAAAATCGTAATGAAGATTTATCTCTATTCGCCTTATCTTGTGCCTGCCGCTAAGCGAGCCAGAAATAGCCGGCGATTATGTATGCTAATACGTAAATCAAGATGCACTCGATAATACACTTGTTAACGAACATATTTAAATTTCTAGCGATGAGAAGCAAGAACTATTAATACATCGTTAGCATTGACATTCAAGCCTAACAAAATTTATTATCAATAATGTTTACTAGACTGCAATGTGAATAACACAAATAAATATGATCGAGACTTTTTGATGCCTAATAATATTTTTATGTAAATTTTTAATATACCTTTCAGTTAAATAAACTGAACGTCTATTACTGTTAGACTTGAAATGCAATTAAAATTGAAACTGAACTAATAATATATAGGCCTAAGTGGGCAAATATCAATTAAGGAAATTTTGAAATGAATATCAATTAGGATTAATAATAAAGCTAATAAATATCTTACTATTGCATTAAACCGTTGCAAAGAAGTTATTGCAAAAATTTATTACTTTTACGGATTTGAATCTCCGCGTCTCGACAAGAAAACTCGTTCTATTAGTTTACACCGTAAAAATGTTTTTCCCTTCTTTATCAATAAGAAACAATAATCATCTTTGTTACATAACTGCGTCACGCCATACACGTGTATAAATCGTGTGATAATTTTTCCGCAGGTATCGCTCTTTCGCATTCGCAATTATCGACTCGCATTCATTGACGTTCGATAATTAATTCATACCCTTTACGCTCCTTCGCGAGACATTTGCAGAGACGGTATCGAGTCGGTTACAAAGACGATTACCATAGAGGAAAATGCAACATGTGCAAGCGAATGGAATAATTGTTCTCGCCTCTGGAATTCTTTTCATTGCCTCGGGCTAAGGGGGGCAAGAAAAAGGAAACGATGGAGAAGTCGCCGTGTCATTATGTACGACACTCGTGCCGTGTCTATGGCACGTGCAACCAGTGTCCTTACTCTCTCGGTTGATGCAACCTTCGAGTAAGTTTGCGGGAAGCGTGACATTTCCAAATTTCGGTCGCCAAAATCTTTCAGTCTTGCTTTGTGTCGAAATACGATCGTAGACAATACCTTCCTTATACCATTTAGCTACCGAATTCTCAGTAGACATCCGTTAAAGTTGCATCAGAAATTTGTAGAGTGAAAGCATGTATCGGACTCGTAACAGGTATATTTGTGAGTCGGGGCTTCAAGAATTGTGGTGATTTATGAAGGAAAGAAGTCGTTAGTAAAGAAAGGCCGAAAAAATGGAAAATTTCACAGATTTAATGACCTTCACGAAACCATTGCGTTACGAATTTTATTTTTCCAAATCGTTTTCTTTTTTGTTTTAAACATGTTAAATTATGGTCTAACAACCTTAATTTTAATAAAATAAGTTTCAATAATATAAGTTAACCTAGAATGTTATACGAATAAATGAAATAAGTAAGGAAGGGCCAAATACTTATAGCTTCGATCGTATTTACCCTTTCTTTACTTACTCAAGCAGATTAAAAAAATGTTCAATTAAAATTGAAATCTTTCTTATGCTATATAAAAACGTTAAATAGATGTTTCTTTCGTTATTAATGTTAAATGTACATTTATTAAATCATCAAAAATGTTTATTAAATAGTTTAGAAAACTAATTTTAAACGTTTATTTTATTTATACGTTTATTACACGATTTCTAACGTTTATTAAATTTTGAAATTTTTGTAATGTGTTGTACTTACGTATTTGATTTATTTATATATAGTGATCTAGTTTGACTTGTTATTAAAAGTTATTAGACACCTAATTTGACATATATAAAAAAGAAACAAAACGATTTGGAAATATAAAATTTATAAAACGCAGTCGTGAAACGAGTTTTGCGAAACCCACTAAATCTACGAAATTTCTAATTTTTTCGATTAGACGAATTTATATCCACGAGATATTTGTGAGTCACTTTTCCATTTAAACTATCTTACACGCGATGTAATTGCCGGAACATTATGCCGTTGCATAATGGAACTTTGTAACAATGTCTTAATTGCAGTGCGATTTTTTTACGACCATACCTGTATCTTTACGATTTGCAGCCGGTCGACTGACTTATTTAAACGTACACATTAATGTATGTATTTTATCTTTAATTACCAATTTGTAACCACTGATCGGTTCCTGAGATAAGTTGAGTTTTCCGCTCAGAAAATAAACTTCAACGAGGTCAGTCGGCGAAACTATCAGCGAAAGAAAATGGAGAATGTATGAAGTCACACATATGCGATTTTTTCACGAAAGAACGGTTTCACTGAAGCATCTAAAAATTTAGCTAGACAGATCTGAAAATAATTTTGTTGAACCATCAATATAATTATATAAAACACTCAAATTAATTACTACACGAGTTCATAATGTCAAATTGTACCCAATTTGAGTTATTTTTAATTATTTCTATTGATCACCACTGATTCCTTATACTCAATATGTTAATTTAACCAATGAAGTTAAACAATTTAACTTGAGATATATATTCAATTTTACTTAAATTTAGTTCGTTATTTATTAAGTGCAAATTTTAATATGAATGTTGTTTTTGAAACTAACCACAAATGAATTGATTTATCTTTTAATACACATGGAAATTAAAAGTTAAATGTTATTTAACTTAAGGAATTGGGTCACTATTGTTCCTTTAATATCTAACAGTGTAGAATGCAAAAGTGACATGAAGAACTAAGAAGAACTACATTACCAATTGAAAGAAAAATTCATGTTTGAAATATTCTAAATGGTCAAATCTTGGGATCTTATGGATTCTGTAACCTGTTCTGTACAAAAATGCATTCTCGAGGTATTTTGTGTCAAAGTTAAAACGGTCGAAACATTTCGGTCCGAGTACAGAAACTATACATTGTTAAATCTATAGTGTCAAATTTAACTCAATCATATCGTTATTTTATACTAAAACAATGATTATATTTGACACTATATAGTATCAAATTGACGCTATATAGTGTCAAATATAATCATTGTTTTAGTATAAAATAACGATATGATTGAGTTAAATTTGACACTATAGATTTAACAGTGTAGGATCCCAAAATTTGACCGTTAAGAATACCTATTTCAAACGTGATCTTTCGACTGATAACATTTTTTGATATTTTTGATGCATGTAGCACGTTTCCTCGTCAGTCAAATTATTCTTTCCGTGTTGACATTTAAGTTATACGTGAGGCTTACTGTCTTCAGGTAAACGAACGTCGATTTACGACGCGGAAGGAAGTAACGCTCTCGAGGCGCTCTCATCTACCTGTGTACTACTCTCTCGTTACCGTAGCGTTACAATTCACTACTCGCGCTCGCGTAACCGCGTTCTCCAGCGCGTTGCAGCGTGTCGAAGGCCCCGCGCTCGTTCCGGGAGTTCCCCGGTCCCCGACCCATGTTGAGGCTTGAGAGTCGCCGCGAGTTGGTCCCCTTGTCCCCCCTCTCTTTTCCCCCGTCGTTTGTCCATCTTCACACCATCGTTTCTCTCTATCTCTCCCCGTGTTTGCTAGCGGTCTAGCGGGGCTTCAAAGGGAAAGAAGAATAAGGAGAGTCAACGGAACCAACAAGGATGCGGTGACAGGGAGAGGAGGCAGGATATATATACGTAAGAAGGAATGGTGAGAGGAGAGAAAAGGGAAAAGAAGAGGAGAAAGAAAAAGGCGCGTGTGGTACCGAGACTCCGAACGGTGGAAAGAGAGAAAGAGAATGCGTCATTTATTATGCGCTGTGAGACAAGCCCCCTCAAGCGCGCTAGACAAAAAATACACGCATAATTAGAACTTATTCTAATATATAAAATATAAAATAAAGTTTATAGCGAATATAAATACACGTGCGAGTGTGTATTAGTGTAACTCAAGACAGAGGGAGACGGAGATACGCGAAGAGCCGTACACGCGCACAAAGAGAGGACGAAGGAGGAACGACAATCGAGAATAACACGCGGGGGGTCTCGGGCTCTCTCACGAGAGGACGACGGACCGACGACGGAGGGAGAGAGTTGGACCGCAGCAAGGAAGGGTGCGCGCAGGGAGCGAAGGAGTAACTACGGCGGCGGTGGCGGTGGCGGCGGTGGAGGAGGAGGAGGAGGAGGGGGGAGGAGGAGGAGGAAGAGGAGGAGAAGGAGGAAGAGGAGGAGGAGACGGAGGAGAGCTCTCTGGAGCAAAGCGCTGGAAGCAGCGCGAGGGGGATCCGAGAACGACGGTAGAGTGACGCTAGAGAGGGGTCCGGGGGGTCGGTGGGGGTCTGGCAAGGAGCGCGGGATCCTATTGGTTCGCGGCCGGGCCATATTATAAGCGGCTGCAGTCCGTGCTAGTTAATGTTAGCTCGAGCCTCCACGCGAGACGACGCATCTCTCTTGTCCGCCGTCGCCACCCGCCACCGTTACTACTGCTACTACGACTACTACTATACTCACGCACGCCTCTGCAGAGCGCCGGAGTATCGCGTACCGCGTGAGAGCCACACGTTCACGTAACACAGACACCGTGCGTCGCAAAGAGGAAAAGAGAAGGAGACGTATCAACCGGCTGAAAGATAACACGTTGATAAGACGCGCAGCATCAGAAAGATCACGATCCTTCCGTAAACGCACTATATATATATTTATATATATATACACACGCAACTTGATTTCGTCCACGAAATCCGAGGAGCCAGTTCCCCCCCGCGTTCGTCGGTTCGTTCAGTGTTCGCGTCGTTCAGCTATTGTTCGGGGAACCGCGTGTCAATCGTAGCGGCGAGTGTCAAAAGTGAACGAAAAGGAGAACGGGAATCCTAATTCGGTAGATCCAGTGAAGAGGCGAAGAGAGAGAGAGAGAGAGAGAGAGAAAGAGGGAAGAGAGTAAGAGATAATAAGACAGAGAAAGGGACCCAGTTTTTCCTTTGGAACACGCCGACGAGAGGAGATCCAGAAGCGCGAGATAAACCAGGACCAAGAGTGCGAAAGAGCGAATAACGAAGTAAGTCCCGTTGCATCACTCGTTGAAACTTTCCCGTGGACAAAATTCGAGAAATATCTCGATCATATCAGCTACACCAATGTTATGATACTGACGATGTTACATGTAGTTTGTAAGTTATAATTTTTTGACGATGTGTAGCGCAGCAACACTGACTACGTTCGGCGGAAAAAGCAGCTTTGCAACTATTGTAAGATTCTTTAGTATAGTATGATTGGTCGCGTTCAGCAGAATGTTTATTTTACAACTATTGGGAGTTTTCTTCACGTTGATTGAATTATACTTTTAGATGTAGAGAAATAGTCTTGCCTCAGCGAAGAAAACTTCCAATTGGCTATGTTTAGCAGAGAAAGCAGCAACTAAAATTCTTCAATACGATTGGTTTATACATTTAGATCCATGAGAGACCAGAAGCAATCGTATTAAAGGATTTTAGTGTTGCAAAACTGCTTTCTCTGCTGAACGCAGCCATTGGTTTATACATTTAGATTCAGTGAGAAATTAAAGGCAAAACCAGTCACATTAAAGAATTTTTGCAACAGTGCAAAGCTGCTTTTTCTGTCGAACGCAATCACTGTATATAAATAACTTGAGACACACGAGGACGCGCGGATACGTTAAATTTCACTTGTTCGCTGTTCCATTGGATCGCGTGAATTCCAGAATTAAATTTAATCTCGTATTGACTCTAAAATGATCAAAATAATATTTTATGCGATAAACTACGTGGAAATCTCGCCACTTCTGAGGTTTTTAAAACCTGCGAATTAAAGTCGTGTTAGAAAATCCTGATTATCGAATCGAAGATCTATATTGATCTTTTTGCTTCTAAAATAACAAATGACATTTTATTGTGATAAGCCACGTGGAAATCTCGCAATTTCTGAAGTTTTTGAAATCTACGAGTCGAAGTCGCGTTAGAAAATTCTAATAGTTGTCGAGGATCTATATTGATCTTTGACATAGTTCTGATAAAAAAATAATTCTTGATGTTAACGTGGATTTCTGGGAGATACAGGAGAAAAGGGGAGAGAGCAACGAGAGATTTGACGCGTTCACGTTTTCCCGCTTGCTCGACCCGACAAGTAGAAGCAAACAGGTGGTCGAATAGACGACGACCGGTAGCTCGTGTTGGCACGCTGTTTTTCGTAACTTAATCCCTTTGTTTCTTCTTACATCTTTAATTATATATATTGAATATATTTAAATTAAGAAACTAGTTTTTACTCAAGTATGTAATTAAAAATCTTTTTTTATCTTACAATTAAATTCGACAAATTTATTTTGATACGGTATTCTTGCATTCTGTATTGCGGTTAAGTTACTTAATCAAAAATTAGACACACAGAGAGAACGATTTTGCTGAAATATTTAAAAATTTAGCTAAATATAGATCTAAAAATAATTTTCTTGGACCATCAAAATAATTATGTAGAATGTTCAAGTTGCTTCTTAAAATGTCAAAACTTTTTGCAATATTTCTCATTATGCTCAAGTGTTCTATATAATTATTTTTACATTAATAAAATAATTATTTTGATGGCTTAATAAAATTATTTTCAGATCTACATATATCTAGCTAAATTTTGAGATGCTTCAGCAATACTATTCTTTCCGCATAGTAAAGTATTAAATCTTTCGTTCCACGTAATTGCTTCGTAACGTTCTGGTAGAGGAAAAATTACCCCGTCCACGATACGCGCATTGCTTTCACTTAAAATAGCGAGCGCGTAATTTGAAGTGTTAAAGAGCGCGGTTAACCCCTCATGCACTTGACCTTTGCGCACTTGTGCGATGCTGGAGAGTAATTCAAGGGTAGCGGACAGCATCTGATGTTTATTCCCGTCTGGTATAATCTCAACCTAAGACACGATTCGTAATCAAATCCATACTTTGCATCGATTAGGACGTCGTTGCCATATTAAAATTTCCCTTGCACGCTCAGTCGTTTCCACATTTTTCCATAAGCTTAAAAACGACAAGCGGCGTGCGCAATTGAAGAATAAATAACGTGCGGTTTCTGATAATAAGTTTCTACACACGAAGGCCAGACATAATCAATTCCGTCGGTGTTACCTCTGAATGGTCAATATTTATATTGGGACGCAGAGTTTCTTTCCTTTGCCGCAATAAAAAGGAAAGGAAGAAAAAGGCGAAAGCAACGCGCAGTGCGCTAGGTGACCGGCCATGGACCGCGACTAAACACGCACGCATGCATGCATTCACGCACGCACGCACGCATAGCGGCCTCCTCGCTCGTTTTCAGTCACACCCGTTCTCCTTGTCCTTCTATCGCGGCCCACGCGGTAATTCTTACCACCGGGACGAGACGCGCTTTTTTTCTGCATCCGCGGCGGATCGATCGTTGTGGAGTTTCGCGGAGGCCCCGCGATCAAAATCGAGACCGACCGCCGCGTTGCCCACCTACACACGCGATCCAAGAGAGAATATCTCTCTCGCTATATCGCCACGAAGAAGAAAAGAAAACAAAAAGGCTTAAGGTGTGCAAACACCGTGAGAAATTTTTTAAAATCGTCTCAAGCTCCGTTGCATCACGATTCTTGCGTTGGATATATTGTAAAAAAATATATAAAATTACATAAATAATATATGTAAAAATTACACAATTTATAGTAGAAATTAATATATAAAATTGCGTTTTTACAAAGGTTAGTTAGTACTTTCATCTTTAATTGTGTAAATATATCTTTACGTTAGACGAAAAATTATATAGTAACAATAGTATATTTTATAGTTTCTGTAAATGTTTAAATTTTAGTTTACGAAAATAATAATTGGGAAACGAACTTAATTATCATCTTTCACTGTTTCACAAAAAGAACAGAATTGCTAAAGTAAAATTAACTAGATACAGATCTATAAATAACATTGTTAATTAAAATAATTATGTAGGATACACAAATTAATTGCTAGAGCATCAAATTTTTTTGCAGCATTGTTCATTATGTTTGAACGTCCTATATAATTATTTTGATAGTTCAACGAAATTTTTAGATACTTTTAATTTCAGTAAAATCGTTCTTTCCATATTGTACGAAAATAATCGCTAAATGAGATACAAAAATACGTGCGCAAGGTAGATGTAGCTTCAGCAGCTTGATAAAGAGAGGGAAGCAGAGAGCATTCGAGAAGAGGTTGAGGAAGAAGACGAGGCGAGACGGTGAAAGGGAAGGGCGTGTGTTACGGAGTCTATCTTTAGAGTTCATTCAGAGAATCTTTTGCTCTCGTACAGCCGGACGAGGGCCAAACGTCAGCCGATTCACGCCTCATATTCCACACACATACGCAAAACACTCACGCATACAAGCGCACACTCGCGTGTTCTCCGGTATGTAGCTAGCGCCCGTTAAACATGGCCTAAATGCAGCAGTGGTGTAACGCCTTAACAGGTGTGGAGAATTCGCGTTTCAAAACGGATCTGACGCAGTCGTTTAAAGAGACTAAGAATTAGTTATTTTCATACTTATAAAGCTATTTTTCATACTTATAAAGCTTGATTAATTTCCGATTCTTCTATTTATAAACGTATTCATGTCTGACGAAATATTCACGGGGGATAATTATCTTTTCTTTTTTTCTTTTCACTTTGGAGAAAAGAAAAGAAAAGATGAACCGTGCAAGAAGTTGAACTAAAAAGAACACCTAATTACGATCTATAATTGACTTGTAAGATTTATGGAAAACACGAGACATGAGGTTTAATTTCAGAGCGAAATCTCTATAAATAGTAAGATCTCTTAAACAGATAAAGCTGGTTTGAATTTATGTGTATAATGAATTCAAATAACTGGTCAGTAAAAAGAAAACTCGGGCAGATTGATTACTGATTCCGGATCTCATGATTCATTCTCCGAGTTGTAGATGATAAATCTCATTGAAAAAGAAAGAGATGGAGAAAAAGAGAAAAAACAAATGAGATACTTGTATCTGTTCACGATACTGCACTACACTTTTGAAATTGTTCGGATTGAGAATCACGTGTTTCCGATTCTGCGTAAATAAATTAATAAAAAGATGGAAACTTGATGAGTAACACTATTTTGAGAAAGGATCGAATGAAAAAGGATGACGGAGATCAACGATTGACGCATTCGATGTATCTTCTCGGAAGTACGATCATAGACCTTACACGTAACGGGCTTTTTCTTAAACATTTGCCAACCTAAAAGAAGTCAAGCGTGCGACTGTTTTACGACCTCATAATCTTCGATCGGTTAGTCAAAGAATCGCGGAAAGGAAGACACAATTTCTTTGTATTTATTTTTAGTAAATACAAAAAAAAAAGAATTCGTCGCTGATTCGATTCATTCAAAATACCACAATTTATGCGGTTTACACGAATTATTAATTCTGTACGGAAATAATAGTTTTGAACCTTGCACGAAGTATCTAAAAATTTAGGTAGATACAAATCTGAAGATATTGAGTTGGAGTTCTTATTTTTAGATACATTAACAGAACCGTTCTTTTCTTGTACGTTAATGGTTTTTATCGTATGACGAGTTGCTGTACAATTACAAAATATATTGCAGCCTCACGAATACATCCAGTCTCTCGACGTTCAAGAACATCTTCGAGTGAGACGCGGAGAGCCCATGGGCGATACTGTACTGTAAATATCCGCGAGCGCGTGTGCGAAGCGCGGCGGAAAGGCTTATGATCGATTAAATCCGCGGACGGCAAACGCGGTCATAGAGGAGAGACGAGAAGAAAGAGAAAGATGGGAGCGAGAGAGAGATTTCGTAATTTCCTCGGACGGAGGCCGCTTCATTTCTGAACGCTGATATTTCTTTAGGGAGATCCGCAAATATCGCGGCGTCCTTTACTTAGCCGCGTATCGGCATCGCGAACGCGACACCGACTGCTATTTAAAGAGAACGGGAATGCATTTACCACAGCACGAAGTTTTACAGTTTGCTTTACGAGTTGAGCCGCGGGAATTGCATTACATACCGCGCGATTCCGCCACTCGATCGGGT